AAAAAAAAAAAAAAAAAAAATGCAATGTGGAACCCAGGTTTGAAACAAACAAACAAAAAGGCATTAGTAGAAAAACACAGGATGGATATGGGTGGCTCACGCCTGTAATCCCAGCACTTTGGGAGTTGAGGTGAGAGGACTGTTTGAGTTCAGGAGCTCAAGGTCAGCCTGGGCAACATAGTGAGATCATGTTTCCACAAAAAATTAAAAACTTAGGTGGGCCTGGTGACATGTGCCTGTAAGTCCCAGCTACTCAGGAGACAGGTGTACAGATCTCCTGAATCCTGGAGTTTGAGGTGGCGTTAAGCCATGATCGTAAGACCACAGCCTGGGTGTCAATGTGAGACCCCCCAACTCAAAAAAAGAAACTAGTGACATGCAAATAAAGTCTATAGTTCAGCAATTGTCTTATATCAATGTTAATGTTCTATTTTGATTATTGTACACTGGTTATGTAAGGTGTTAAAAATTAGGGGAAGCTGGGTGAAGTGTATTAAAACTATTATCTTTGCAACTCTTTTGGAAGTTTAAAACTATTTCAAAGTAAAGAGTTTTTTTAAAACTAAGCACAGCTATTTGTCAGATGTATACCTTGGAGCCAACCACTTTTTAAACTATCTGCAAAAATCCAATATTGTCAAATAGAATAAGCACTCACTTAGCGTCAAAATTATTTGTTCAAATCCCACTTTAAATTCCAAAAGCCACAGCCTGGTGTGTGGCCTTGGGCAAAACTGCTTCATGACTCTGATCTTTAGCTTCCTTATTTTGAAAATAATGATTACATCACCTACCAAGCCATACGGTTGCTATGAAAATTAACATGATCCAAAGTGCCTAATGTTATGCCTAACACAGAGTAGATGACCAAGAAATGTTGACTAATTCCACAGTTTGGCATTCAAAGCCCTTCTAATTTGGCCTAATTCTTCCCTGCCTTCTTTCCACCTGGCACTCTCTCCTCAGTTTTGTCTCCATGTTGCCGTCAATGCATCTTCTCTAAAACCTGGCATCATCCCTCTTTTTAAAGCACTACGATCACTCCCCATGGCATACCAGTTAAGTCCAAGAGTTTTAGGAATACATGTGACTCCAAACCTGATAATCACAATAAATTTACAGGCCAAAATAAAGGACTTTTAAAGTATCTGCTATTTTCACTAATCTACGGCATTATTGGACTATTAGGATGGAAAACAAAATCTGCTATTTTTATCAATTTAGTAGGTAAAAGTTTTAGATTAGTTCAAAATTTAACTTCCAGTTGGGTTTAAATAAGTCACAGTAAACTTATTCTTTTGAATGCCTGTCACTTTAGGCCAATGAAAACAAATGGAAGTGAAATTCGTACCTTTCCTTCCTCGAGGTGAAGCAGGAGGACTTTATCTCCTGGCTTATAATCTTTCAGCAGCTCTGCTGACTTCCAAACTTCCTCGGGGTCAGGTATCCAAACCCTGGCGAACTAGAAGACAAACAGAAAAATTTTGATATATAAGATATATTATGACTTTATAATTAAATAATTTATGAAAAAAATAAATCTTGGCCAATATGAAATATTACTTTGAAAATCAATAAATAGCCGGGCTCGGTGGCTCAGCCTATAATCCCGCGCCTTTGGGAGGCTGGGGTGAGTGGATTGCCTGAGCCCGCGGGTTCGACACCCGCCTGGGCAGTGAGACCTCATCTCTACAACAAATCAAAATATCAGCGCCGTAGCGCATGCCTGTAATTCCGGCTACTTGGAAGGCTGAGGTGGAAGGATCGCCGGAGCCCAGCAGGTCGAGGCTGCGGTGGCCGGGAGCGGCCACTGCACTCCAGTCTGGACGACAGAGTGAGACTCCAACTCAAAAAAAAAAAAAAAAAAAATCAATAAACAAAAAGTATTTTAGCCCTAGTAGTACCACCATGTCCAAATTATATAAAAGTATGTTCTGGAAAAAACACAACAAATAAAGTTTGACTTTACATAGTAAATGCCACCTGAAAGTATAACTTTAGGTTAAAATGCATATATAAAGTCTATTTTTGAAGCTCTAGTGTTGTGCTCTGCCAGTTTTGACAGCACAGCCATCTTTTTATGGCAGGGTTTACAATCTGGATTTTTTTAAATTGTGGTTTTTATCCTGTGCTCTGCAAAGCCATGGTGATTTCTCATATATCCCTCAGGAGTCATTATGGCAGGGAGAAGAGACTAAAAATATCAAAATTGTAAAAATTTTAAAAAACTGTTGTTTAGTATTTTGCCTTCATTACTTTATAGAGATGAGTGGAAAATGGTACATCTGGTCAGCAATAAGACTGTTTCTCGTAGCCTCAATTACATGAAAGAGGCACAGTAATCTCAGGGATTCCTAAAGCAACAAATCTTTAGCTTTAACCAGACATTCTCCGGATTTAAACCAGATGATTACAACGTCAATTTTGAGGAAAAAGAAAAAAATATATTAACATGCATGAATCCTTCAATCTACATTGAAGAAGTGTGTTATGATTGCTTGGACTCTCCAGGAAGAAATCTCCCTTTAAAACACATGTACACTAAATTTTAAAGGCCATTTTCATGAACAAATCACATACGATAATAGGACATGCTAGATTCAGCTGGCAAAAGGAAGACATAATACAATCATGGCTGACATGGGCCAGACGATCTCTGGCCTGTGTATCCTCATTTCATGCAAATTCATTTCCAGATTTCATTTTTAGTAAGAACCAGGGTACTAATTTACTTGGAACTTCAAGCTTAAAGAGCATTTGAATTTGCATATGTTAAATATGGGGCTACTTTCTGATGAACTGTGATAATGTAATAGACAGTCTAAGTACTGGGTACAAAGAAGTTCTAGAAGCTTATAATAAGGCTATTCCCAAGTACAAGAGAAATTTAAATGATCTAGTGATGGATTTACAGATGAGAGAAGGAGAACAAAAAGAAAGTGGGTGAAGGAAAGGAGAGAACGATATGAGATTCAAAAAAATTTAAATTAAATGTCTCCTATAAGAAAAACATTACAGCATACTACTGTTCTGGATATTATGTTAACTTCGTTACTGACAAAGATTCTCAAGCCTTCCTATTGGGAAGTTGTTGTGGTATAGTGCAGTAGTTTCCAAACTACCACATTTCATGGCTGGTAAAATTAAAAAAGGGGGGGGGAACTGACACAGGGTTATCAACTTTTAGTTTTGCCAAGTAAGATTACAAAACCAGTAAGTCAGTAGCACTTATAGACAAATGGAAGGAAGCTTAAGGCCCTCACACTCACCAAGGACAAGATTTAAATACCAATCTACCATCTAACATCATCATTTTATAAAATAAAGGACATTTTCACACAAAAACAGTAGGAAAAATAGCCATTACAGTAACATCCAAATCCTTTGCCATGCTCTACATGGGCCTTCAGACCTGCCCACCTCTAAGCTAGAGCTATGTAGGCCTTCTTTTAGTTCTTTAGGAACACAGGTTTATTTCTGTCTTTAGAGGCTTCGCCTTTGCTAATCCCTCTGTAATGGACCTCTCCCAGATCTGCTTAAACCAAGCTGGCATCCTCATTCGGATTTTAGTGCAAATGTAAACCTCTTCAGAGAGGCCCTCTCAGATCTTTCTAGCTGAAGTCACCCCCCATTACCACTACCATTCTCTAGTTTTTTCAGAGATCTCATTACTATCTGAAATTACTTATTGTTATTGTTATGCTATTGTTTATTTATTTATTGCCTCCTTTCCCTCATTAGAACATAAGCTCTATATCTGTGTTGTTCAACACTATCAGCAATACTTAAAACAGTACCTGACGCATAGCTGGTGCTTAGGTAAGAATTTATTGAAACAAGCTCAGAATAAGTGTCGAGCATGATGGCTCATGCCTACAATTCCAACACTTTGGAAGATCGAAGAGGAGGATTGCTTGAGCCCAGGAGTTTGAGGCCAGCCTGGGCAACATAGCAAGACCTTATCTCTACAAAAAATAAAAAATAAATTAACCAGGCATGGTGGCACATGCCTGTAGTCCCAGCTACTCGGTAGGCCGAGGAGGGAGGATTGCTTGAGCCTAGGAGTTCAAAGCTGCAGTCAGCTGTGATCGTGCCATTGTGCTCAAGAAAGAAAGAAGCAGAGAATAAAAGGCATCGCCTTAAATTGAATATAAATAGCATGATTTAAAAAAAAAAAAAACTCATTCGATTGCTTTATTTTTCTCTTATTATTACTAACACACACACAATTTTTTTTTTTTTGAGTCGGAATCTCACTCTCTTGCCCAGACTGGAGGGCAGTGGCATGCTCATGGCCACCACAGCCTTGACCTGCTGACTCAGACAATCCTTCCACCTCAGCCTTCCAAGTAGCAGGAACTACAGGCATGCACCACCATGCCTGGCTATTATTTATTTATTTATTTATTTATTTATTTTAGAGATGAGGTCTTGCCAAGTTGCCCAGGCTGATCTCAAACCCCTGGGCTCAGGCAATCCTCTTGTCTCTGCCTTCCAAAGTGCTGGGATTACAGCCGTCAGCCACTGTGCCTGGCTAACACATACACATTTTTTATCTGAACAGCTGGCAGAGGAGAGTGTTGAACTAGGCTACGGGTTCTAGTCCAAGGCTATCTTATTGGCCTTAGCATTTTTTTCAGGTAGCTGTTAAATGGGGATGACAACAATACTCTTCTGGAACAGCTCAAGGGGTTATACACATAGAAACTTCATGAAAAGCATAAACCAATACATAAGTACTAGGTGGGATTGTTGCTAAGTCTTTTTTCCACAGGAAGTGGTTTCTAATGTCTACATGAGACATGTTACTGAAATTTGTTTTATAACTTTTTCCTGAAACTGCCTTCATAAAATTTTTTAAAAGGTCACAAGGTTACAATTGTGATAGGGACCTGATTTTGTATGTTTGTTTCTTACTCTTCCTCCATGCATTATTACTTGTATATCCTAGTCCCCTGAAAGCTGCCTGCAAGATTGATGAACTTATTTTTTCTTAAAGAACAATGAGTCTCAACTCATACAGACCTCCTGGATGCATCCAGAAGTTTGATCAGCTAAAGGGCATAAGCAGCATGGATTACCACGAATCCCTCTCCTTCATACCTTCCTGCTAAGCTACACACATAGCTAAATGATAACCTGCCCGGTAATTATTAAATTATTTCTCTGCTGTAACAATTGCTGTCTCAGTGTTTTGGCTTTTCTGTGCAACAGGCATAAAGAACTGGCCAGACTGCACTATTCCCCAGGTACTCAGTCCATATACTGAGTAAATCTGTACATATTACTAAAATTTTACTCATTCAGCAAATATTTCTATATACTAACTGCTCCTACTCTAAACCTTACTTTCAAAAGTCAGTATTTCTGTACCTTTCTTTGGAAGGATTTACTGGTTCCAGAAAAGATATATAAATGTATATGACATTCAGAGTCATGAAATGACCTACTACTTTGACTGACAAAAACACACACACACAAAAATGTATCTGATTGAGTTGGTAAAAGTATGACTAACCTGTGCCTAAATAGAAGACTTAAAATCTAAAAAGAAGTATTTTGTGTCTGTGTCAATAGAGAGCTCCAGCTCAGATTTCCACAAGTATTTTGCAGTGAGTAGACACTTTGCCAAAGGCTAGATTTCCAAGAGCTACATGTTAACAACACTTACAGATAAGTTGAGGGAGTCTAAGACCCTCACATTCACCAGACACAAGATATTTAAATACCAAACACCACCATGGTAACCAACTTCCTCTTTATCTTAGCTTTATCTCTTGGGAAAGCATCCAAGGAGAAATAGGTCAGAAACCATTCTATTATTACCATTGCCTTTTTGTGGTTCTTTTCCATCTTAACCAATGAGATGAGTGACTGTGCAGAATAACTATATCAGAACTAGGTCAATGTGAGGGTATACACCTTAGGTACTAAAACAGAGGGAAATTACAACCCAACATGCCCCTTCCTACTGCCTTTGTCACTTCTAACCGTACCTCCCATTCCTCCCCAGACACCAATGCAAATGCACAGGAAAAGATAGGACTAAACTTGTTCAGTCAAATTTAGTGAGAAGACGGGGGGAAGGAAGGCAGGAAGACAAGACTCATAGATCACATGAGAAACCCAGAAATGAGACACAGAGTGAGTCAGGCAAGAATCAGAAACAGGGGTGGACACCTGCCCACAGAGTCTGCTGAAGGGGAGCCAGGTGCAGTAGCTCATGACTGCAATCCCAGCACTTTGGGAGGTCAAGACAAGAAGATCACTTGAGCCCAGACGTTCGAGGCTAGCCTGGGTAACAAAGTGAAACTGTCTCCACACACAGAAAAATTAAAAAATTAGCCAAGCATGGTGGCGTACATCTATGGTCCCAGCTACATGGGAGGCTGAAGTGGGAGAATGGTTTGACCCTTGGGAGTTCAAGCCTGAAGTGGGCTTTGATTGCACCACTGCAC